AGGGGCCTGCAAAGATTTTTCCGAATTATTATAATGTATACAGAGAATATCCTAAAAATTTCTTCTTATGTCTTAATACTTGTTGTTTGATCAATTTTTCTAGCAACAATCAATTTCAGAAATTTTGTTTACGAAAGTTACAAATTAAATCTCAATTATTGATTATACTTAATTTAATACTAGTTTCTTAAGTACATAATTACTGTAATAAATTTGAAATCTTACAGTCGGTGCAAATTGTCCTGCAGGAATCCATTTTGGTTTAAAGTTACTGATAATTTCGTGTCTCCTCTTCTTGTCCTTCTCACGTTGCTTAAATGCCAGTTCATTTTGTTGTCTTTTCTTAAAGATCTCATCTTCTACATCACCAAGATCTGACATTATTAATTGTACACGATCTAAATTAACATCGCCACTGTCTGTCAAAAAACCCTGTGCAAATAATTTACAAATATACTTTCTGTAAAAAACACTTGCCACAATTTGCTTAAAATTAAAATATTTGATAGATTTCTTTTTTCAAATTTACTATATTTAAAAAGATGCATATATATGTGAATCAAATTAATTATTAAATATATAAATGCAGATAAATCGTTAAAAACGTTTTTTTTTTTTTTTTTAATTATAGTGAACCATTTAACCGATATGCTATTGAATAGCTATATTGTCAACAAATAATAAATGTGATAGTTAATAATAAATTTATACAAAAAACTTTACAACTACCATACTAATCTCAATCTAAATTCAGAAAATATTATCTTTAATTACAACTAATTAAATATAAACAAAATCTTTTACTTATTAATTTTTTAATCAATACCAAAGAAATGTAAAAGTTAAAACTTTGCTGTTTTTATTTAATTTGATAACAATCTTTAAGAGAAGATTTAAACTTTCAAAACTTATTCAGAACAATATTTACTCGTAGAAATTAAAAAATAGGAAAATATTAAATCTTCAAGTTCAAGAAATGATGAAAAAATAAATGTCCAATAAAAAAAGTGACTAAATACTTGTGGACATTCTATATAATGACTATATCCCTTAAAAAACATGATCACTATATAAATTAGTAATTTTTCATTATTTTCTTGTAAGAAATATTACATACTCCTGCTTTATAAACTGCTTTTTTATATAAAGTAACAAGTCTGTCAATTGCGCCTTCCCTAATTTCTAGAGAAGGGAGATGCGGTAGAAAATCATTCCCTACGAAGAAACACATGAACACCCAATCATCGACAGCTTGTTCAAAATCATATTTGAATGGTAGATTTGGCATAGATAATTCTTTTTCTAAATATTCTCTGAGAACATTTAATCGCACAAATATGTACTGGCATTCAGATCCAAATGCATTTTCCTCCTGTCCTTGATTCGGTTCTGCTCCTGTGCACTCTCGCATTTCATGTCCTAACTGACCACATATATCGCATGGTTTTGGCTTATTCGGTTTGAACTCTTCGCGAATAATTGTAAAATTAGGTTCGTGGGTAGCAAGACCTAACATAATTAAATCGGCATCTGCTCCGCATAAAACATGTTGCGTATTGGGATCATGATCGGGTTGTGCTATAAAATAAATAAAAAATTTCATAGTATTTCTATAATTTATAGAAATGTAATGTAAATATAAATATAGAAATTTACATCTTTGTCGCCGTATAAAATCCATTATTTTATGTTCTCCTTCGCCGGGAACGTTAGCATCACTTAATATCACTTTAATATTTCTCCAACCTGGGTCATTATTTAAACGTTCATGAATATAGTAATGCAAGCATGCTGATAATCTTGCCATAAATGGTGTGCCCTAAGAAAAAGCTTTTGATATATAAATAATATACATATTTTTATTAGTAAAATCTCGATTTAAAACTAAAAATTAATCACAGTTTTAATTATATAAAAATAAAATATAGATATAGCTTATATAAAGCTCTAAAATATTACATTTATAATTTAAGTAAATTTAAAAATATTTTAAATAAAAACATATTTCTCTTTATATTTTTTCTATATTATTACAAACCGGCGTGATACAGTTACTGTCGAAATGTTCTTCTTTCGGTTTTTCAGGAGGCAAGGGCGCTCCTTTATTGGCCAATTCGGAACGTATTCTTTGTATTTCATCAATTTTCTCTGTTGTTTCTTTCGAGGCTCGAAATCGTCGAGATCTTTGTTGATTCATTTTAGCTCTGGGTGCCTATGTAACAGTGCGCATTGTATATTATAGTTAGTTTTGTATTTTTTGTTTCCATTTTTTTCTTTTATATATCTCATACAAAAATACTTACAACTCCATCAATTGCCATATAAAGCAACTTTCTTGGTCTAACAATACGAAACAATCTGTCAATGCACTCAAAAATAGCCTCCATCATTTCGTCCTCATCTTTGGGCGCTGGCCTGTTTTGTACAAATAAGAGATTATATAAACAATTTATTTTTTGCATGATTCCGCTTACTCACTTATCCTCCGGATGTGTACAGGGATGTATTATGCCATTCATATCAAGATATAAGTTATCAAATTCCACTCCATTTGGATTTGGGTCGGCAGAATTCACAGGGATACATACTCCATCTGCGGTTACTGCCTAGAAATGTCCACAAAATTTTGATTATAACATAAAAAAAAGATGATTGAGCTGTATAAAATGTCCCTGAAATAAATCGTCAAGTGGTATATCTTAGTCGCAAAGATAAAAAAGATCAATTACAAATCTGTAAATATATCCTTTCCAAGTTGTACATGTCATTTGTCTGTGACAAAGATTTATGAGAATGTATAGAAAATTTGCAGAGATTTGTTAAGATAGATATTATTTTTTCTTTTGTTACAAATGAGTTGAAAATGACATTTACATAGTGATGCACATTTTAAATCAATGTCTAAATTCAAATAAACTGATACTTGTAATTGCTCCAGTATACAGAGATTTATTATTATATAATGCAATATTAAGTTATGAACTTATCAGAGCGTAACATGCTATTATTGTTTATTACTGATATTGTATATCAGTAATAAACAATAACATGATATTGTATATCAGTAATCAATATATTGATACTGTAATTGATATTAAGAGAGAACTTGATAGAAATATTTGATATTTCTAATCTTACCAAAGATTCAAGTTATAAATAAAAGCATTTATGATTTGGAAATACATATAATCCTTTTTCAAAGTGAAATGTTCCCAATGTTTAGCAATTTCAGAAACATCTTATTTATATATAACTACATAATATACACACAATTCTTTCAAATTATGAAAATTCACAAGAAATATTCTGCATCATTTCATTAACTACAAAAATTTGAGAGAAGATGGTATCTTAAATATTATCTGATTACAAAATATTATTTGATAAAAGAAAAGATTAATATAATATTAAAAATAAAGAAAAAATATTATATATAGAGCTACATTTTTCTACACTAAAACAAATCTCTATGTTTGTGAAAGCACACATAATATATAGGTAACATATGATTCATATTTATATAAATAACATATGATTCAATAATAAAAAAATCTTCAAAATAAAAGAACAAGGATATTTTTATTACAAAATTTCTAAGAGAGCTATATATATTGTGCTTATAGGTATATATATACTTACAAGTATACGGTTATAAATATATTTAAATCCACACATGTTTGAAAATAAGCTAATTTAATTCCCCTAATATATGATCCTGTGTTTCATAATAAAATTTAGAGTTTTATAAATAATACAAAATTCTCGTATTTTTTTGTCAAAATGTTACATACATTCATTTGTAATACTTATTTAAAAATCTTAAATATTTTCTAACACGTTTTTGTAACTGTATGTTTTACCACATCAACTAAGAGATGCTATATGTATGTTTAGATTTGTGAACTGGTCCAAATTAGAACATATACGCATATCGTATCGTAAAGAAAAATTCTATCAGTTACTTATAAATGTTATAGTATTGTTTATTCAATCAACCAAAAATTTCATAAGGCATAACATAAACATAATAATTTCGATATATAAATACGTAACGCAAATAAAAAGAGAGTATTGAGCAATCTAACCTACCTTTTGCTCGATGCACTCGACGATTACGGAGGGATATTTTCGACTTAACCAACGAAAAAATGCTGGTACACCCATCTTTTCTTCGAAATTTACTCAACGTTATATGTAAATTTTCTAAATCAGTCACAATACTGTCACAATACTATCACAAAAATATAACAATATATCATTATCAACATCTAACCTATAGACGCGTACGCAGTTTAACTGTATCAAATACGTAACTAGATATGGGATAGGGCGAAAAAACTGTGACCAACTGAAGCTCGAAGTTGTGACCCCTTATAATATGGCGTCTTTGCGCTTGCGTAAATGCTCCACTTGATGATATCTTCAAATGTAAGATTTGTATTCTTTGTCCTGATTGGACCAATCAGGACAAAGAATACAAATCTTACATTTCCATTAAACGTCCATTAAACGCTTCGAAGCGAAAAAAAGTATAGACGTTAACCACAACTTTAAGGCCTGTTCTAAAATAAGTCGTATGTGTTAGTCGTTAGTAAATTGACCAATGACAATCGATTATTCCAAGAATATTCGACTGTGATTGGTCAATTTGCTTACAACTAACGACTTATTGTAGAACGGGCCTAATAGCTTCCGGTGTTCTATTGGTCACAGATAATCTAGGTCTGTTCTTTATAGATGAACTGGCTGCACTAGTTCAGTTATAAAGAACATATCCTCTGAGTCGCGGATAGTGTATTCCATATCTAGTTATGTATAGAGACAAGTGCAGCCATACCTATAAAGAACAGATCTCATTCTCGAGTAGCGCGGTAATTTCTTATAATTTCAAAACAGCTATATGAGACTACCGTAATGTAACGTTATATTTAATGCCCGATTTGCGGATCAAAAAAGCGCGGTTTGGATTTAGGATCTAATCAAAAGGTTATCTTGGATTTAAGATTATTTATATATTGATACATTTTCTACATGTGATTTGAATAACATAAAATATACGTAATACTTTTTTATCAGTTTGTACAAAACATTGCATGTTTTTTGTGAGTGACACTGAGTGACACTTGTGTGTGCTGAAAAGAAATAATATATTTTAGGTTAGAAAATCTTTTGTATCGATCAAATATATGAGCATAAACAGAATTATAATATAATTAATATTTAATTTCTATTTATATTCAAATTTTGAGCATATTTGTTACAAATGTGTGAAGATTTTTAATAACAATATTACAATCTTTTCATGAAGTTATAAGAATTTTTGTTTTACTAAAATGAGAAGTTTATTATACATTGGAATTAGATGACGAATATCTTTATGCATGCATATTAATTTGTAATTATTTATTTTATTTTTATCTCTACTTTTATTACTTTTATTTATTTTCTGTTGTGTAAAAATATAGACTTGTTATTTTGCTAAAATAAAACATTTATATTAATATTAAAGGCTTTGTGTTATTATAAAAAATTTTAATCTTATAGAAATCTTTCTGTATTTTGTATAATTAATAATAGCTTTTTTTCTGTAGATTAATTTTGTATTTAATTTACATTAACTTAATGAGATGGTCTACTATAAACAGAATTTTTCTTTTAATTATTATAGAACAATCAAAATATATTATAAACGGGCTTTGTATATGGATGATATGTTCATTAGTCTAAAAATTTAGGATTAAATAATATTATTTTCTTTTTTTTTCTAGAGACTAAATTTTGAGATTATTGGTTTAATTATTTTACTTTAAAGCAGGAAGATGCCAGTAGATCAGATTCAATATTCAGAAAAGTACAGCGATGATAAATATGAGTATAGGTAAATTTTAATTATAAATATATCTAATGAGTCATAGACTGAAGATGAGATTTGAAAAGTTAAACAAAATGGTTATTTAAAAATGGACATTCCATATTATAATCGGAACACAATTTTTTTTTAAATCTCTAAGAAAATAATATAATTAATTAATTACAATATATATCTAATTA